TAATTTAATTTTTTTTTCTGATACCTAAAATGTCTGAACAAAAGCTGAGATCTCCAAGCTTCTATCCTGGTCAGGCAAACTCTTTCGTAATATGGCTCTAGTCTCAACAGTGATAAGCAAATCCATGCATTAAAAGAAGGATAAGTTCTCAAACATTCTTCTTGAAGTCACTTTCAGGAATAGCTAAGTTTCTCAAATGTCATGAAGCTCAGAGAATATTCTAATCAGGCAAACCCCTTTTGAGAGGAAACTGTGAAATGAAGCAAGAACCTTTTGGATGGCTTTGATTTGTATTTCCCTTTTCCCTTCTTCCAGTGCCAACTTTAGCAATTCATCATTTTTCGAGATAATCTATAGTGACAAACTGTTGGCAATGATCCTGGTAGACTTAGAGGCACTTTTGACAAGCTACTAGAAGAATAAAATATTGTCTCCTAAATCTAGTTTAGACTTAGTTTTGTTTAGTTCGAACTAGCTTAGTGGACTTCTCATATTTTTTAAATAGTGTAGTCCTTTAACTAATAATGTACAACGATGAGTTAGTTACTTTGTGAAAGTCTGTAAAATATTTAGGTATTTCTCAATATCTCAATAAAGACATGCTATTGTGGCATGATTGCAGGTTAAAAAAAATAATAATAATAATAATAATATTTTTAAAAAATATAAGAAATAGAATAAATATTAAGACATAATATATATATTGTAAAAATTATAATTTTTAACTATATAATTAATAATTTAAAAATTGGCAAAGTTGAAATTTATAATATAAATATAGTAAGTAGACTTAAACTTTTAAAAGTAGCCATATACAGTATAATAAAATTAATTTACTAATAATAATATTTGATTTAAAATAACTTCAATTCAAATATGATATATTAAATAAGTGTTTATAATATTATATAGACTTTTATATAATAACTAATTTTTTTTATAAATTATTAATTAAAGATTACATTACTTAAAAAATATAAGAAATTTATTCAACTAGTTCAAATTAAACAAGTCAAAATCTCAATAAATACTTTAAATCAGATTTAAAGAAAAATATTTAAACAATAAATTATTAAAAAAATTTTTTTTTAAGTTTTTTAAAAAGATTTTTATTCAAAAATAAATTTTTCTAACTAAAATATTCTCATTTTATAATATTTAAGGAACTTAATTATTCCTGAGTAAAGAAACTTTAAAAAAAATGTTTAATGAATTTATTTCTCTATTAATATATGAATTCACTTATTGTATCACTGATACCAATGCCATATTACAAAAGAATATACTTGATTACTGTAAAATAAAAAAACTTTTTCAAAAAATTTTGAAGAATTTTGAAGAATTTGTTTAAAGTATTGTATTATATACTCTTTTAATATTTTAATTATCTTTCATTTTTGCAAAAAAAAACTCTTTTCACTAATCCTCTGAATACATACAAAAAATATGTTCACAAGAAGTTTTCATACTTCTTTGCTAATAAAGTCTTAACAGTTTCATTAAAACAACTTGAAGTATGACTTCAAGAGTCATTTCTACCCTTCCCCTTTTGTTTACTAACCTCTTCACTCAAAAACTTGACTTCCAGTAGCATCCTAATTTCCTTTTCAAATTTACTGGAAAATCCGAAGAATTGTACTTATTATTACATATATACTGTATATTATTATAAAATAAAATTAATTTGAAAAGAATAAATATCGCCGGTACATCTTTAATAATATAGTTTCACACAACAAAAATACATTGCAGAGATATCGATCGGGATTATATAAATTGACTAAATTTGGATTTTACATGTTTAATGGATTTTTCGATTAAAAAAAAAAAAAAAGAAACGAATTATCGTACTTTTTATTTTCACTCACGGATTTAAACCTATAGACATGATATAAAGCATCATCAACCTCGTTGCTCCTTGTTTGATACCCATAACTTCATCTCGGGAGGTAACTCTTCCTCTGCGTACACCCTATCTGCAAAATAAACCCTCCTCAACCTGCAGTTAGCATGTATTTGCACCCTTAATGTTTCAACATAATTGGTGTTGTAGGCGCGGCGTGTAAAATCTGCAAGATTAATTTGGATTTGATTCCATCCCTCGTCCAATCTCATAGGCATGGTGCATATGTAAGGTTTGACGCGTGTAACGAACTGAAATTTGAAAGATTAATTCTAATAATATTCGATTACTCGATTCAGTCCACAAACTTCAATCTCCAATCTAAAATTCGCCCTCACCTGAAAGTTCGATGCACGGAAACGCCTTATAACATTTTTGTCGTCCATAATTTGGACTTCTAAGGTGAAATACTTTTTCAAATTTTTTACTATGAGAACAAGAATCGGAAGTTTGATTCCAAGAACACGGTTGAGTTGAGCGGGGCAAGTTATGTAGGTATCAGCGACACTCGGAGATATTATTTCTATGGCCATGGAATGTATATCATCATCGGTCACACGTAAGACATGACTTTCTTCATGTTTAGTGTCTGTCTCTCTGTGCCAGATTTGAAGTGGCTTGTTACTAAGGAATAAGCAAAAGTACGTGAAATTGGTATACGTACGCATGTAAATGCAAACAATTTATCATTGATTAAATAGATTTGTGTGGGTGTTATCCTGAGTGTTATGCAATATACCACCAATTTTGATTTTGTTAGTATTCGAGAAATTATAACCATTCTCTTCTAGGTTCGTGTTGTAAATTCCTATAGAATGCTACTTTAATACTTAAGCCAAAGCGATTTTTTTTGTTATGAAATACACGTCAAAAACATTGGAAACATGCATATTTAGCCTTTCCTTTTGTTAAATAAACATTTTGAAGTCTTACCCGATGCTATAGAGAATTGAGAGAAATCCCGACTTGAAATGCGGAAAAAATGTTACTTGTTAAGTTAATAAGCTAAAAAAGAACTATAGCCAAAGGGAGAACTATACCTGAAAAGTGTTTCGAAACATCTGTGTGCTATATGTCTATACCAAATAAACAGCATCAACAGCAAAAGTGCGTGCGGTCCGGTACCTCCATAATTTATGCAAATTTTGAGCACCCCTGTGTAAATCAGGCCAGAGATAACATATTCCGCATCCACGTGTAAATTTGGAAAACGATGGCCGATTCAGAAGCAGCCTCAGAAATTCATACAGGAGAAGACTCTCCTCTCGTGGCTTCCGAGCCGAAAAAGAACAAATTATACCTCTTGTTCCTTTTGTCATTTGTGCTGTCTGGCAGGGGATACTCTAATGTCGCAAAATTATTAAAAAGCGCTGGTTTGAAACCACCAACTAGAGGAGAATTCTTGTGTGCCTCCAAGTAAGTAGTTTTCCAATATTTTTTTGGTCTCGGGTACTTGACTTTCTTCGATTTTTTTTTTTTTTTTTTTTTTTTTTACGAGACTTTTTAAATTCCTAGAGCCAAGCCGCATGATCACAAGACTGCCTTTCATGCCATGTGGTGCCTTCATGATGAATGCTTACCTAAGACTTCGCGTACAGGAATTAAAGACTTCTTTGTAATCTACACCGCGATGACATCAATCGGGATTCTAATTCGGTTGTTATCTAAGGAAAGGAAAAGGTTATTTATAACAAATGTCCTCTCTTCAGATTTGAAATTGATGGCATTTGATGATGGACTAACAGAATTCAATCTTTCGTTCGAATCATTATTAGTCTCACGCGCCATGAATTGTTCAACGCCTCTCACACTCGTTTAGCACTTTCGGTTTCATCTTTTGTCGTGACATACAAAACACTGCTTCGCTTTTTCACACGAGTATTTGATCCTCTATTTAGTTCCCGTAACAACATGAATGTAAACGATATAATTTTTTCGCCTTTTGCGCCACCATTTCTGGCCGGCCTGTTAGCGGGACCATCATTACTAATTGACAAAAATCAATCAAGGCGCACGTCAATTTCCATATATATGTTAAGTAAGAGTCTGCAGTTTGTCTATCATGCTTTGAGGAAGAATGACATTATTCCTACAATGCCTTGGTGGTGGGGCTCTTGGTTACTATTTCCAATTAGTTCCTCTCAATTAATTTATACATACCTGGTTCATCCGGACGTTTTTCCCGTAAGCTTGTCAGTCGTTTCACCCGTTTATTCATGAAGTTATCGTTTTTATATCTTACCTTATCACATTGTAGAGTACTTATGCCAAATTTATCACGGATCGAAGTTCCACTTATGTTCAGAAACGTCCAAAGTATTTTCCACGTTCGATGCCATGGCCAACACGTCGAGAAATACTGGATCGAGTCTTAACATTGGGATCACTTCATTATCCCGAATTTTATTCGCCGAAACTTCACGGTCGAGATGTGCCCGAGCTTCCGGATTCGCTTAAACCTATACGGCCGATCCTTGAAATCTCACATCCAGCACACAGCAAAATGATGTGTGCCTTATTGCATCCCAATGATCCCAGTTGTTTGGCAACCTACTTTAGGTCTATAACCAAGGAAATCGTCATTGCACTTAAATTCAGGGGATTCTTCCAATCGCTTTCATTGATTCTCAGGTGGAAGGATCTTGTTCACAGGTGAAAAAAAAAGAAATCACTTTACATTGATGGCTTACCGCTCTTTCCGCAAAAATTTACATTGATAACTTACCACTCTTTCCACAAAAAATTTGCATTATAATTACTTTAACGAAGACCTAACGAAATGTTGCTTCGGAGTATGCAATCAATTTTAAGGGATGCTACTTTTATGACCATGTCGATTTCTACATCTTGGGCATTGATATGCGGACTTCAAAATTTCCTTCCGAACAAGTTCATGCCTGTGTCAAGGTATTTAATTTATTTGATAAATTTTTGACATTGTACGTAATTGAAATGGCTTAAAAATCAATGTCGTGTCTCGAATAAATCAACAAGGATCTGTATAAACGGATTCATCGGTAGCCTTTGGATTCTGGTGGAAGATTCAGGTCGACGCTTGGATTTCGGAATGTATAGTTTAGGAATGTTCATCGAATCGTTCTGGAAATTATTGGTGAAGAAAGGAAAGATCAAGAGCCTTAGGTATCTAATCTTATCATGACTTGAATGTCGTAAGTGCATGATCTAACATGCATTTGATTTTTATCAAAAAGGAATGGAGAAGTTATTTGTTTTTCACTTGCCACCGCTTGCATAATGGCTATCCACAAGGTCCAACCGAAAAGCATATCTACACCATATATTAAGCAAGCTCTAGATAGATTACTCGGAGATTCGTCACCGGGAGTTGGAAATATTTGATGGCCTAGTTAATCTACACTGGGTGGGGAATCGGTTTTATGAATAAATCACTCGATCAATTTATCATTATAGTCAGAAAAATTATTTTAGCGAGAAAGGAATTTAATTAATTTACTTCAACATTATCCGATATTAAATTTAACATTAAAAAAAAAAAAAAAATTGAAGGAAAAAAAAAAATAAAATCTACATGATTGAACATATTTACAACAAGAATATGATGCCCGTAGAGTGTTGGGATGAAGAAAATGGATTCTAAAAATTCGTACATAAAAACCAATATTAATCATGTCCACGGGATACGAACATTTGATTATCTTGAAAATGAAGATAAAGTGAGTGCCTGCACGAAGAAACCAATTTCATTTATGAATTTATGACGCCTGAGTAACCGATTTCCTTGTTAAATTAAACAATCATTGTGCACATTGACAAAAGCACTTGAACCAACACCATTTTTCGATAGTTCACGAATTACCACTGAAGCTTGGCGATATGCTTTCTCTAACGGAGGTATTGCAGGTTTACCTTGCGAAACTGAATTTATCGAAAAAAAAAAAAAAAAAATGAAAAAAAAAAAAGAGCAAGCTTAATCAGGATCGAAGCAAGCTTACTTATGCATACCTAGAATGGCACTATTTAAAGCGTTCGCAACTGGTTCACGACCAGAAGGGTCCAATAGGTGAGCTACACAACTGACGCGTGGATCGGTGTACGCCAGCAATGAAGACGCATCCTGCACACGAATAGCAACAGTTTATTAAATTCCATATCATTTCGTGAAATTGGAATTTCGAGAGTTACAACGAACCTCTAATGCACTTTTTATTTCTTCACGTTCGTCCTTGCCATAGTCATCTCGTAGTTTGAATCCAAATCGTATTGCCGCTGCCATTGTTTCCCCCAACCCGTCCAACTCATCGAATACGTCTTTCCGCCGTTTATTCACTTTTTTCTCTTTCGACAGCGGGACATCCATGTCGTCGGTGAAATCACTTTCGCTCGGATCCACGTCCATGGCGTCCTCGAATTCTTCCTCTTC